GTTTGGCTCAGTGGATGGAGCGTCGGCCTGCGGACTGAAAGGTCCCAGGTTCGATTCCGGTCGAGGGCATGTACCTGGGTTGCGGGCACACCCCCAGTGGGAGATGTGCAGGAGGCAGCTGATCAATGTTTCTCTCTCATCGATGTTTCTAACTCTCTCTCTCTCTCTCCCTTCCTCTCTGTAAAAAATCAATAAAATATATTTTAAAAAATAAATAAAATAAAAAGAGAGAGAAGAAAAGCATTGCGTGCTGTTATGAATATGTACATTTCAAGGAAACTTAATTTTGCCACTCATTTCATCTTTAAAATTGAAGAGGTTTCTACTAAAAGAGAAGAGTTAAAATTCTCTAGTACAGAGATGTTAAAATAGTGGCCACGCCCTTTGTGTGTTTCATATATATCCAGAAATGCTTTTGCAACATTATTCTGACTTTGGAAGATTCCTCATGACCCATTTCCCACTTTTATACTCTGCCATTGGAGTCTGTTTCATTCCTGACTTAATATTTATGGCTTTCATAACTACTCTTATTCCTAGTCTTTACATTGTCTAATTGTCTTTAGTAAGATCACAATTTTCTAGTAAGTGCTGCCGTCTAAAATATATATTCCAAAACAAACCTTACTGTAGGTCTAGATGTCAGATGAATCAACTTGGTTTTCTTTGGAGTGAATTGCCTTAAAAGTAGAGATAAATGTATTAATAGGCATTTGGTCTTCCTTAACTTTAGTTACCCATCCCATCTCATAGGATCTTTTCAGAATTACCGCTGGAATAGGAGTGAGGAATGTCTTAACTTAGTGACTGAAGATGTTTACATGCAAAAATGAATAACTGACCTGATCTGTTTGTAACTGCCTTCAAGTATTATAATTTAGCTTTCTTTACTACCTTTATATGGAGTCCTGTAAAAAGAAAGATAAACTAGGATAAATATAGCAGTTCTAAGATACTGCAGGGTTATAGGGTTGTGGTAAAAAAAACAAATCAAAGGTTTGTTCTCCCAGAGATTTGGTACAGATAAAATTGAGCCTCACATTTGTCTAGCATACTTATTAGTCTCTGAAATCACTCACAATGAGAGAGCCACTTAATAATCTGAATACAGGCCTCATATATTTATTTTTATTTTATTGATTTCAGAGAGGAAGGAAGTGGGGGAGAGAGAGATAGAAACATCAATGATGAGAGAGAATCATCGATCGGCTGCCTCCTACACATCCCACACTGGGAATTGAGCCCACAACCCAGGCATGTGCCCTGATCACTAATCAAACCGTGACCTCCTGTTTCATAGGTTGACAATCCACCACTGAGCCACAATGGCCAGGCCCTCCCTGTTCCTTTACTTTTGTTTTTCTTGTCTGAAAAATTGAGAAGATAATAAATCTTTGCCGAGAAACTTTAAGCATTGAAATCCATGAATGAAAGGTATGATACAGTGATGGTGTGTTATCTTGTAATTATTTAAACTACTTATTCTTCCTGACTTCAGGGCAGGGGTGCTGGTTGCTCACTTTCTTATTCTACAATATCCACCCACATTACTTCTCACAGGAATTTGAGTGTCATTTATTTAGATTTCAGAAGTGTGTGTTGATTGTTTCTAGACAACACGAGAGATGATGGCTCGTTCTGCTGCTACCCTCATCACACATCCCTTCCATGGTATGTTTGCAATTGATAACTGAAATCTGATTTATTCTCTTCTAAAACATGATCTCTCCTGATTGTTTAGATGGTTGGCTTGGGATTTCAGTAAAGTGCCTTGCCTGCATGTTTTTGTATGCTTCATGTTTTGGCTTTTATCTAATTTATCCAGAAAGCAAAGTGGCCTTAGGTGGGAAAAACTTTTTTTTTTTTTTTCAGGGCTATCAAAATTTATCTCAGTGTGGTTTAAAAAAATTTTTTTCTGTGTTCTGTAGTGATCACTCTGAGATCCATGGTACAATTCATTGGCAGAGAATCCAAGTACTGGTAAGTGTCTTTGTTTTCAAGTATTCAAGGAGATATGTTGAAACCAAAGTATTAAAATAATAGTGCTTTACATTGTTATGTTGCCTTACTGTTTATAGAACAGTTCATATACCTTATATCATTTGATCTTCATAAAAACCAGAAAATAGTAGAAAATGGCCCAGGCAGGTTTAGGAGCCTACCTGGGACCTCATAAGTTACAGAGCCACTGAAGCCAAAACTCAAAGTGGCTCCATGTGACAATATCCTTAGGTAGTAATACCTTCAGTTCTGTGCCCAAAATCAACCGCCTTTGCAGAGTGAGAGTGATAAAAGAGGTGGGGTGGGGAGGGGAGATTTGATCGTGTCAGAAATGATAATTGGATATTTAAAAAATAGCTTGAAAAGAATCTTAATGTATTTTACCTTTCTTTCCTCTGTACCTAGTGGACTTTGTGACTCCATAGTAACCATCTATCGGGAAGAGGGCATGATAGGATTTTTTGCGTGAGTAAATCGCTGATTTGTGTGCGTGATTTTTGTAAGTGGAAATAAGGAAAATTAATTTTTGAAAAAAGGGAAATCATCTAACGTGTATCCTGAGAGAATATGTTTTTGCAAGGGAGTATCAATTCCCTTGAATTTACTTTGAAAGAACTTAAGATTGCTACCCTCTTTTTTTTAATTAATAGTAAAAACTGCATTATTTAGTAAATGGTTCTTTTTAATTTTCAGAGTGTTTCTACATAATTGATTTTATTCATGTGTCATAAGTACTCTGGGAAATGGGCAGAACAGCCATATTATTCTCATTTTAGATATATATTTTAAAATGGATGCTCTGGGAAGTTCATTTGATGCTGGTCATATAGCTGATCTGATAGATGTGACATTTGAGTCTGGTCTTCAGTCTGTAGACTAATGTTTGTCCCACTATTCCATGCTCCCCCACAAAGATCAGTGAGACTCTCAAAACATGGATTTTTTATGTCTCTTACTTGTACCTGTGCTTGGATCATTTTCATTTTGTAATTTTTTTCATCTTTTGCCCTGCCAACTTTGAATATAAAATATAGTTTAGCAAAAAAGGTATTTAAGTCTCTTCTCCGGAGTAGTTGTTAATAGTAAGGTGGGCCATTGGCCATAGATTAAAGGGGTATGGCTGGCCTGCATTTTAAAAATAGGAATGAAAGTCATTAGAGATTAGCTTCAAGTACAGTTGTATCAACTAGAATAAGGGCTAGGTTCTGTTATTCGATGTCTTTTCCATTCTCTAGAATGTTTTGAAATCTCTAATTCTTTGGGAAGTGTTTGGATTATCTTTTTATTCATCACACTTCTTAATTCTTATTTGTATTGTTTCTCCATGTAGGGGTCTTATTCCTCGCCTCCTAGGTGACATCATTTCTTTGTGGCTCTGTAACTCACTGGCCTACCTCGTCAATACCTATGCACTGGACAGTGGGGTAGGTTGTGACCTTGGTGAGATGTGCTAGTGCTGACTTTATTGTATTCGCTCGGCAGCTAGGTTGGCTTTAAAAAGTAAGATGGCAGTTTATTATGTGCCAGGCTCATCATTATGTAGCTAAACATCAGTCAAGTTTTCAAAGGCGCACAGAATGACCCATACTATTTACCATAGAGAAATGTACCTAAAAAGTCCTCGGTGTAGCAGAGTAAGCCCAAGAGATTTATCCCTGTCTCTGCTGCAAGGAGATCACTTCTTTGTTGATAGCTAATTGTAGAGACCACCATGAAGCAGGACTGTTGTGTAGTTATTCAACATGTTTTATCTAATCTGAAATGTTAAGGTAACTCCTGTATTGGGCTTTCTAGAAACCTCAGTCTGGAAGGTTTGGTGAGCCGGCCTTCCCTAGAAGTAATGTTTCCTCCACTTCAGCAGTTGTGGGCCTCTTTGTACACAAGCTGTCCCTCGCATGGTGGAAAATAGAACAGACCCAGGGATAGGACTAAATCCATGCTGTAAGCTTCTTGAGTACAGAGCCTGGTTTCCAGAGCATCTGGAACACAGCTGGGTGCACATAGAGGTATATGGTAAAAGGAATTTCTGGAGATTTTATTTCTAGGACATGGGGAAAGGTTAACAATCTCATTTTCTTTTGAAATCCTCAGGCTGTTACATTGGTTCCTAAGCCATCTTATAAATTCATCTACTGTGAATATGTCTACTGATTTTGAATCAAATTCATCATTTTGACCACTATCTTTTTATGTTCATAATCAGTATTTTATGTTTTATGCTCAAAAATAATTTTCAAGCTGTCAAACTGATAATTTAGAGATAGAATATATGGATATGGTTGGGGACAAGTAGCTGTTAATATCAACTTCATCTCATTATTCATTCTAATAAAGGCTTCCTTCCTGTTTTAGGTTTCTACCATGAATGAAATGAAGAGTTATTCCCAAGCTGTCACAGGAGTGAGTTGCTGTTTTTTTTACATCCTTTTAACCTTCTAGGAATTTTGTATGTGTGTGTATTTTTTTTTTAATTTGGCCTGTATTATCACTGCTTTGAAGCAACCAGATGTTTCCCAGGAAAGTCAGATTTGTTAATGTTTGGCAGAGCTCAGAATAGCCCAGAGTTCCTACATAACAGTACCAGTGATAATGAGCCCACATGGTTTGGTGTTCAGCTTTCAGGAGAGGGATGTGGGCATTCTCATCACCGCTTTCCCTGATTCTCAGGGCTGCTTCTCCCTGCAGCCCGTTGGTCTTACAGTGGAGAAGGCACCCACTTTAGTCATATGGAGCCTTCCAGTAGTTGACTTCTGAAGTCATTTTCATTGTTTTTGGAAGGCTACTCATGTTTTTTTTCTTTTTTAAAAAAATATATTTTTATTGATTTCAGAGAGGAAGGGAGAGGGCCAGATAGAAACATGAATGATGAGAGAGAATCACTGATTGGCTGCCTCCTGCATGCCCCGCATTTGGGATTGAGCCCACAACTTGAGCATGTGCCCTGACTGGGAATCAGACTGTTAACCTCCTGGTTCATATGTCAATGCTCAAGCCCTGAGCACACTGGCCAAGCGTTTTTTCTTATTTTCTTCAGGGGTGTTTTGAAATTGTATTTAGTTATATTTGCTTTTTCTCTTGAATACTGTAGTTCAGTTTTATTTGAATGAGGACTCAATCACAAAATAAGGAATTCTTCTGGCCTTTATTAATATGTTAGCTATAGTGGTATATTAAGAGAAGGAAGCATCTCAAGCTGAAAATTGGTCATTTAGTCTTTCCTGGAATACTGAAAAAGCAAAGCCAGTATTGGAGTATTTGACCACAGAGGCGCTAGGAATTTAAGGGAGAAGAAAGAAGAGAAGAAAGGAGACTGATGACCTAATAACTTAGCTATTGTTTTACTGTTTTCCAGTTTTTTGCCAGTATGTTGACCTATCCCTTTGTGCTTGTCTCTAATCTCATGGCTGTCAACAACTGCGGGTAAGTGCTTTGCGTTTCTTCTCCTGGTAGTTGGCTGCTGTGTGCTTGACAGGCAGAGTAGTCCTGGTGGAAATGTCAGGGAGAAAAGTACAGTTGATGCTATTACTAGATTTCCAATTTTTTTTCTCTGTATGTCCCATGTATCAGCAGTGGCATTAATCTATAATAATAAAAGGGTAGTATGCTAATTAGACCGGACGTTTTCCGGACATCCTTCCTGACGAAGCCGGGGCCGGAGGGAAGCCAGGCTTACATGTCATCCCGGGCCTGCAGGCGGTCCGAGGGAAGCCAGCCTGGGCCCCTGGTGCCTGCGGGCAGCCCGAGGGAAGCCAGTCCAGGTTCTGGGTGCCTGCTGAAGGGAAGCTGATGCCAGCAGCCATGGGAAGGAAGGCCTACTCTTGCACAAATTTTATGCATCAGGCCTCTAGTTTATATTATAAGTGGCCACCTCATATTCTTTTTTTGGAATAGGGAAAGCATAGATAATGTTTCAAGTCCTTAAATATAATATGCACTTGCCATTATAGGTCCTATTCCGAAAAGGACTGGATAATTACCAAATTATTCTATTTTTACATCTTTCCATTATTTTAAATCTTTATCCTCTTTTTCTTGAAAGTTACAACAGGTATATCAGGGATTGAATGACAACCTGTACCTGTTTTTCCTAGGAGAAAGTGAGTTTTAAAGAAAGAAAAATGGGGAATTTGGTCCATGGAAAGTTTCTTAACCTTTTAGTGTATTGGTCAGGAAGGATAGGTGTGGTGTGGTGTGGTGCTAGACACCATTGAGTTCAAGCTTCTAGATGCCAGGTGACCATACCAAGTTGAAACAGGTTTTGCCTCTTGATTCGATTCAGGAGAACTCTGTTCTAATACAGTACCTGATACAATATACCATTGGACGTGTATGTCATTGTTTTCCAACGAGATAGCAACTGGAAAACTGTATGGAGTTTTGAGCACAGTTGTCATCTGTAATAATCTTCTATAATAATAAAAGCATAATATGCAAATCAACCAAACAGCCAAACAGCAGAACAACCGTCTGGACGACCACACTATGACACGCACTGGTGCCAGGACAGCCAAGGCGGGTGCAATGCGATTGGTCAGGGGACCCCGCCATCGCTCCATGATCTCCCCGCAAAGAGAGACCCAGGCCACCCTCTGCAGGGCAATTGATCAGGGGGCTCCGCAATCACCCCAAAGAGGGAGACCCAGGCTACCCGGCCGGTAGCGCTGCGTCGGGTGGGCAGGGCCTCCCTCTGCCTGGGGTGGGAGGAGTGATCGATCCAGGAGGGAAGCCCAGTCCTGGGTGCTGGCAGCCAGGAGAAGGAAGGCCTACCATTGCACGAATTTTGTGCATCAGGCCTCTAGTATTTCATATCATGTTACATTCTGTTTGCTTTGATTTGTAGAGTAGCTCCCATATTTTAGCCCAGAGCATACTTGAAGGACAAGTTAAGTGTGTTTATTCCTTATAATTTTTGGAGAGGAAGTGATTATACGTGAGTAAGAGCATGTAGTCACCACTGTTATATCCATTGTCATATTTAGGTACCTTTTTTTTCCCCTTACATAAAAGTTTAGTTTATTAATCTTTTCATGAAAAATCTGCACAATCACCACAGATAAAGTCCTGCAGAACCTTTACTCCTTCTTTTAGCCAACACCAACATTGGCCTTTGCAGTCCCCTTGACTTTCTTCATTCTGTTCTTGCGTTCCTTTCTGTTTTCTTGAGGTCATCATCTTCTCATTTAGGCCATGTTTTGCAAATCTATATGTGGGTTCCTTTTTCTCTGCATAACCCAAGGAATCATAAATCATGCGAAAGCCAGTGGTCTTACCACCACCAAAGTAGGTTCTGAATCCAAACACAAAGATGACATCAGGTGTGGTCTTACACATTTTGGCTAGTTTTTCCCAAATTTCTGTCTTGGGTACTGTTGCCTTTCCAGGGTGAAGGACATTAATGACCATTTGCTTCTGCTGAAGTAGTCTGTTGGTCATTAGCTTCCTGATCCATATAGTTCCTGTGTCATTCATGATGAAGGTTGACCTTCAGGCAGCCAGGGACGAAAAAGAGCCACTGTTCCCTCATTAGGTGCTTTTAAATACCACTTAGTTTTTAAATCCCATTTTCCTACTCTTTAGTTATATATTTGATGTGTTTTAGAATTTCATATCTCCACAAATTAAAAACCTAGATGTTTTAGAAAATACATAACTAAAGTTTATTCGTTGATTTCAAAACATAAATATAAGGGAAATTTATTAGAACTAAAATTGCCTCTCAGAAACTTCTAGGCAGTAGAATGTTTTAACAAAGATTTACTGGACTCTTGAGAGAATGTTTTGTGAATATTAACTTGAATGGCTCATCTTTATTTCTATTTCAGGCTTGCTGGTGGGTGCCCTCCTTACTCCCCAATATATACTTCTTGGATAGATTGCTGGAGCATGCTACAAAAAGAGGTACTTCTCTCATTCTCTCTTCCACTCTTGCCCCTATTCTTCCCCCCTTCACACACCGCCTCCTCCATATATTTTACTTTATTTTGTTCTTGTTTGTTTTCTTAAATAATGTTTCTGGGATCCCGGGTTAATTCTTGTAGCTTACCTTTTAGCTACCAATTACTGTGCCCTTGACAGTGTTCCATATGTCATCTGGCATAGTAGTAAAATATGCTGCTTAGAAATCAGCAGGGGTAATGAAGAAGCAGGAATCCCTAGATGTGTTCCAGATGCCTTTTGAGTTATCACATTCAAATTACAAATGGGCTCTGGATAAACGCTTATCCTGGTTGTGAAAATGATAGCCTTGATTTCAGATTTTTTCCCCCACTTCACCTTTTTGTAACTTCTCAGAACCTCCTTATGTATTCAAGTGTTTTCTCACAGTGTGATAAGAGTAAACGGAGAAATGAGAAGTTGTTTATGTCATTATTTGTTCACAATGATGTTGATAGACCTGGTCTCTTACTGCTGGAGTCTTAGTCCCAGTTTTGTCCTAGTCATTTAGTTACTTCTCCTACGTATGTTAGTGAATCATTTTGTTTTGACTCCAATTTATTGTTTGTTATTGCTGTGAGATATATCATCTGCAACCAAAAATTCCTGATCCCTCTAGGCAAAGTTTTATTAGGAACCAAAGTAATGGTTGGCTGTGTGCTAAATTTAACACAGGACCACTTAAAATTGCCATCAGTTTAAAGCTGTTTTTGAGTAGAAAGCATTTTTTTTTCAATCCTTACCCAAAAATGTTTTTTTTACTAAGTTTAGAGAAAGGAGGGGAGAGAGAAACACTAATGTGTGAGAGAAACATCAGTTGGTTGCCTCACATAGGTGCCCCCAATAGGAATCAAACCTGAAGCCTTTCAGTGCACAGGATAATGGTCCAACCCACTTAGCCATACCAGCCAGGGCAAGTGGGTAGCACTTTTTATAGGATTGTAGAAGAAAATATATGAAGAAACTCTGTTTCATTATCTTATAGCACTAGTGATACATATGAGAAAGGCCTTTGTTCATAAAGCTCAGTACTGCTGTAGTTGTTTATGCTCAGTGTGCATACACAACAAGCCCCTCCTGAATCCAGGCTAGAATTCTTTCTTTTTATTTATTTTTTATTTTTAAATGTGTATTTTTATTGATTTCAGAGAGGAAAGGAGAGGGAGAGAGAGAGGTAGAAACATCAGTGATGAGAGAGAATCATTGATCGGCTGCCTCCTGCTCACCCTGCACTGGGGATCGAGCACGCAACCCCAGGCATGTGCCCTTTACCAGAATCGAACCTGAGACCCTTCAGTCCGCAGGCCAATGCTCTATCCACTGCACCAAACCAGCTAGAGCCTTTTTTTTTCTTTATGTTTTTATTATAATTTTATTTTTAAATATATATGTATATATTTCTTACCACCTTTAAATATATTTATTAATTTCAGAGAAAAGTAGGGAGAGAGGGAGAGAGATAGAAACATCAATTATGAGAGAGTATCATAGATCTGCTACCGACTGCATGCCTTCTACTGGGGATGGAACCCACAATGCAGGCATGTGTCCTGACCAAGAATTGAATGTGTGACCTTTTGGTGCATCGGATGATGCTCAACTAAGTGAGCCACACTGGCTGGGCAAAATAACCATTTTCTATCATCCTACTTTACATATGGGAAAAACTGGGATTTTGGACAGTTAAATAACACCAATTATGTAACTCAAGGTTTACAACCTATATTTGGGAGAGTGGGATCTATGTGTAGGCTATCTAACTTTACAGTCTACTCAGTTAACCCCTTCCCCAACAATTTTTTTGTTAAAAATGTTTCTTTTTCAGACTAATTTTTTAATTTTGTTTCTATATAGTATTTTTGATGCTGGTTATGAAAACAGTTTGTAACTCGTCTTCCTATAAACCATATTTTTTTACCATATTTTCTTAGTATACTCGTCGACGACTGAAAAAGAACATTTTGTGAAAACGAGTATACACGTTTCTGCCGGGGAAGGGGTTAAACTCACACATTACTACTTTAATTATAAGATTGTATAACCACTTCCTAGAGACCTGACCATTCCATTAAAAAATAAATAAAAGCACCTGGCCAGTGTGACTCAGTGGTTGAGTGTTGACCTCTGAACCAGGAGATCACAGTTCGATTCCCTGTCAGGGCACATGCCCAGTTTACAGGCTAGATCCCCGTGCAGAAGGCAGCCGATCATTGATTCTCTCTCATCATTGATGTTTTTATCTCTCTCTCTCCCTTCCTCTCTATCTAAAAATCAATAAAGACATGTATTTTTAAAAATAAATAAAAGCTAGCACTTACTGACTGTTAGGACTGTTCTCAGCACTCTATATATATAGTGATTCATTTCATAGCCCAGCCAGCAAGTGTCAGAGCCAGAGTCCAGAAATTTTGTCTAAATAAGTAAGAAATGTTTTGCCTTATCCATGTGGCAAAATTGGAGTTAGTTCCACAAAAGCTTAGCATGAGTCAGAAAGTACAAATTGCTACTCTTAGTGATTGTTGGTTTTGTCCTAGCTGCTTAGTTACATCTCCTAGAAACGTGTCTAGAAGCATCGCTACTGATTTGGACCGGCTGATCTCATCTTCACACTAGATTTTATTTGTATTTATTTGTTTTCCAGGGAAATATGAGCCGAGGAAATAGCTTGTTTTTCCGGAAGGTCCCCTTTGGGAAGACTTATTGTTGTGACCTGAGAATGTTAATTTGAAGATGTGGGACAGGGACAGTGACATTTCTATAGTCCCAGATGCACAGAATTATGGGAGAGAATGTTGATTTCTATACAGTGTGGCACGCTTTTTTAATAATCATTTAATCTTGGGAAAATGGAGGTATTTGGTGTCTGCCTCTTTTTTTTGTTCTTTTTCCCAGCACAGCATAATTTACCACTAATATTCCCCCTTTAGTTATTCTGAAATTGTACATTTTTGCTCCAGACTCTTTATGTACTTAAACAGGGAAAAATAGTTGCATTTTCCTAACTATTGTCATGTAATTTGGTCTCAATTCAAGGCTTTGTAAAATGAAGAGTACAGTCCCAAGAAGAAAGATAAATACTGTAAAATTTCAGAATAGTAAGGCAAACTGTATGGGAGGTCATGAATGACCTTTCTTTAGTACACCCTAAAAACTCAGCAGTATCCTCCAGAATTTGCCTCCCATTATATGCTTCTAAGCATTTTTTATTAATCCTGTCTCTCATACTTCATAAAAGAGACAATCCATTGCTAAATCACCCTACAAAATCTCTACATGAAGCATCCACACCTTCAGTCTGTTATTGCAAAGTAATAAATTGTTGTCAACAGAAGAAAAAAAAAGACAATTATAGAAAATAAGCAAGATTTGGAAAAGAAGCATACTGGCTTTTTTCCCCCAAAAGAAATTCTTGTTATTTAAAATATGAAAAGCAAATGCTGCAGCAGTAGCCCCTTCTCTAAAAGCTAAGTGTTTTCCAGTCCCTAAATGACATCATTACATAGTTCTAATTGTCTATACTCTTGTTCTTCAGTTTTTGTTTTGTTTCCTTTTTGTTGCAGAAGGTGAGTAGTTTGTTTTTCATTCCTTATGACACCCTTGGAAAGTGAACTTGTAACTTCCTATCAGGTGATGCAGTCCACAGGGTTCTTAGGATATTGACCACCTCGCATGTCATACCCTCAGTTAGGCATGTTAACGGCATTTATAGAAGGGAAAAAAATCATTTTAGGAAGCAATGAATTTCAACTCAAGTATAAAGCTTCTATTTACTCAGGACTTTTAAAAGCAGGTTAAAATGCTCCAAGATGAGAAAGCATGTTGTTTTACTTATTTAAGTAACCCACTAGGATGTTGCCAAATGAGTAAGCACTTAATTTGCTGCTTCTCAGATTTCTCTATGAAAGCAGCAGCCCCCAGGATATCCGACTGAGCATGCAGGTCTCTCCTTCCCCAGGGTTTAGGAATCAGCCTGAAGCTCATGAGTAGCTTACCTTGAAATGTCTTTGATGTCTCTTACTTTGTCTTAAAAAGTAATGTAAATTTTATATTCTATTCAATATTATATGCATTTGTTTTAATATAAAAATGTTTTGCATTACCCATCTTTTTCCCAAAAAAAAAATCTTCAAGTAAAGATGATCTAGGAAAATGTGCCATGTTTATTATCCTGTGGCTTCTGTGCTCATACACGCCTGCCCCTTCCTAGTTGAGTCTGACTGTAAGGACCATTCTACCACCAGAGGGCGCCAAGACTCTGGTTTTGCCTGTGCAAGTTGGGCTGCTAAAGTATTTCACCAAGGCCTGGAATTGTTCAAAGTACTAGTCTAGGCAATCTGATTACATCCAAGCAATAGGTCCGAAAGGGTGCTATTCCTATGTTCCTCATTAAGTTTAAAGACTATTCATAGAATAAAAAGTGAACTTTTATTCAGGGGCTAGTAAATTCAAAGGTACTCTTAAGATACATATGTAAAAATAATGAACTGACTCATTAATATGTGTAATATAGAGTTATATGAGAGTTATCTAGTAAACCGCACCCGTGACACTGGGCAAGTGCTTTGCCTTGGCAGTGATGAGCAAAAGTGCCAGGAAATATCCCCCTCTAGGGAGTGTGATGGTCATTGAAGCCTTGATTAAATGAAGAAAAGAAGGAGGGGTTTCCTGGAACTTTTGGGGTGGTTGTAAAAGCAACCTTACAATGAAATAAACTTTAAACATAACCCTACATTCCAGCTTCTTACTGTTACCTGAACATATGTTGGCTTCGTTGTGACCTACTTTAGAACTGTCTTCCTCTCTTTCTCCCATTGACATTTGTCCTCTATAGTAAGAATCAGCTCTTGTGTGATCTCCTTGTGAAGTCTCTCACTCATAATCCTAGTTTGAAGGTACTTGCCTTCAAACTCCCTTCCCCCAAGTCCCGTAATTACAGTATAAACTGAAGTGACAAAATGGAAACTACATCCAAAACCAAGTGCAAGGCTTACCCAGCAGGGCATTACTTCTCTCTGATTTGAAATACTGTGAAAATAATTACCTTTAGCCTTTTTACACAGGCTCCCTAAAACACTGGACTTTATAGAAAAACTAGCTGATCAAGGAGCAGCAGTACATGCAGTTGGTCAGTCTAAGGTGAGGGAGCAGGAAAAGAGAGCTTTAGGAAGTAATAACTGCCAAGCCTGTTGCATAAGTTTTCTCATAATCTTTGGTGGAAATAAAGAAAATGAGATTCAGATTAAATTACTCATTCAAAACTGCAGAGCAGGTTTCAAAGCTGCATTCAAACCCGAGTTTCAAATTGTAAGGTCTATTTACTGCTTCGTGGAGGCTGAGGGAAAAAATCAGCCAAATGAACCAAATGGTAAGTAAGTCATCCATCTGAAGAAAAAGGCCCAGCTCTTAGTGAAAGCAGTGAACTGAAGAACAGGCCTCCCCTAGGACTGTTAAGCCCAGATTTCAGGATCCCCAAAAGACCACCAGGGAGCACCGAATCCGATGCAAAAGCAGAGAGTCTTTATTCAAGCTAGCTTGAGCTCCCCGTCAGCCACACTCGCCAACGCAGCGGCGGTGGGGAGGGGCAGAGAGAGCTAGCCCTGTGGGAAGAGGGGTTTTATAGGAGGGTTGCAATAAGGGGAGGAGAGAGGACTGTGGGCCCTGCCAATTGGCCAGGCGCAAGGATGTGGTTGTGTCTATGGCGCGCACTTCCCTTGATTGTCATTGGTTAGTTTAAAGAAACCCTAGTGTGGCTAGCAGAGGCTTGGGCTTCCGGGAAGAAGCTCCTTGCTGAGCACATGGCTAATGGCTGCTGCCCAAAAATGGAGGATCCGGGGTAAGATGGAGGGCATAGCCCTCGCCCTTTCAGAGAGCAGAATGGTCTTAAATCAGGAAGTACATAGTTCTTGCCTCAGCAGAATGATAAACAGGTGAAGTAACTGAAAATAGATACGATTGCCATGGCCCACCCAGACTGTTATGATGGTTTATGCAGCTGGAAAGCGAAGTTCTTGTGTATTTAGGATTTACTCTTTAGGAGTACTATCAGTCCTTATTTGATTTCTACCGCTTTTGGAGGATAACATTTCTTCAGAGTGATCTATGTGTCAGCTCCTCTGATGGATTTTTCTAGAACATTCTTGTATACTGGGGGGCTTTATTCAGGCTGCCTTTCTAAATGCCATAGTAATTTAATCTTGGAGTTTTTTGTTTTTTAAATATAGACAAAGATGAGCGTTTATCTCCATTGCAGAGATTTTTCGGGTATCTAAGAATGTCACGTGACATCTCATTACCCCCACCCCCATTGGCCCCACATCCTATTGTCTCTTCAGACTTGAGATAATCTTGCACTCTGATTTTTGTCTTACGGGGAAATTGGCAAATGAAAGGTTCCTCTGCCACCAACCAATGCCTTTTCAGAATATTTTTGAAGGTGACTGATTAAATTTCTAAAGCAACTGAGTGTTTTCCTTCCAACAAACTTTGTCCCTGAGAATCAGCTTCCTCATCAGTCTGCTGCCTAAAGAGATGTCTTGGGGAGGCCCCCACACACTGTACTCGTCTTCCGTGATTCATGGCCACAAGCTGAAATCTTGGAAAGCCCATTTTGCCTTGCTCTTATAGTGCATTCCTCTGCAACCCAGGCCCAAATCTCCAGTGTGGGACCAATTAGGCAAATTTTAAAACTACAGTTGTTGACCCAACTTACTACGGCCCTGAAAAAGAGTATTTTCAAATAGATTCAGGTCACTATCACCCTCCAAAGTATGTTTGGATAACAGGGCTTTAGAGAATGTCAAGGAGAACAGGTTGAGAAAAAGAAATGTGACCTGGAGGTGCTGTTCAAGACTCACCAGCCCTAACGGGTTTGGCTCAGTGGATAGAGCATCAGCCTGCGGACTCAAAGGTCCCAGGTTCGGTTCTGGTCAAGGGCGTGTACCTTGGTTGCAGGCACATCCCCAGTGGGGAGTGTGTAGGAGGCAGCTGATCGATGTTTCTAACTCTATCCCTCTCCCTTCCTCTCTGTGAAAAAGACTCACCAGCTTCCTGAGAGGAAGGGCAAATACTGAAACAAGCCCCACCCCTCCCAAAGTCTCCACAATGACAGTGGGTAAGAGGAAGTTTTCCACACCAATTCCTGCTCACTAAGGCAGCCAGAAGAATGTTCTCTAGTCATGCCACATTTCCACGGAAAGTCTACTTGGTATTGCAGCTTGTTTCCAGACAGACTAGCATGAGGAGCTAAAGGTCAAATAAGGACAAGAAACAGAATTGTACCTACTCTCTATCCAGTCTGGGGCCCTGCCCTCCTGGCGTCAGAAAGACTGAGGAGAATGTCCTTTGGCTAAAAATGAAAAGAGAAGGTGAAAACGGAAACAACAGCCACACCTCACTGCATACTGCTCACCTCCCACTGGAATTTGGTATTCCATGCCTTTCCTCCCCCCAAGGGACTTAAACTTTAGAGTTTATAAGTGCAGCCCTCCGTTATTAAACGTGTAGCCAAGGCAAAGTCCTGTGGTAGGGTCGGGAGAATGTACAGCGTGCAGTAAATCTCTCCTTGTCCTCCCTGGCACTTGCTGTGCCCTGAGGGAGGGATGTGGTGTGACAAGAACAAAAAAGAGGAATGGTGGGAGGATTAAATGGAACCATATGTAGAACAAAGCCTGGTGCACTGAAAAAGGACAGACACTGAGTTCTGGAGACACGCTGTGGTGACTATGGTACAAGGCAGTATGTGCCAGGAGCTGCTGAAACCAAGCACCATGGGCTCCCAAGAGGGGAAGCTCACATCCCATTGGGAGAACATGGGGAAGACTTCATGGAGGATAGGATACTAGGTAGCAGGATGGTGAGATGGGAACCATTTCCAGCTCACTTAGCTGTGATACCTCGGGCAAGCTCCTCACCTCTAAATGAGAGCAATTACCTTATTGGAGTATT